GATCTTCCCGGACCGGGGCACGAACCTGTGTCCCCTGCATCGGCAGGCGGACTCTCAACCACTGCGCCACCAGGGAAGCCCCCGTGAATAATTCTGAAATATCTATTTCTAGTCCTCACCTTTCTCCCAAGCATCAATTCCATGTGTCACTGTTGTGGCCTCTCCCGTTGCGGAGCACAGGCTCCGGACGCGCAGGCTCAGCGGCCATGGCTCATGGGCCCAGCCGCTCCGCGGCATGTGGGATCTTCCCGGACCGGGGCACGAACCTGTGTCCCCTGCATCGGCAGGCGGACTCTCAACCACTGCACCACCAGGGAAGCCCCTAACCCAATTCTTTGTCTCTCTCTCCTACTGTTATATAGGTGGTCTCCATTTATCATTTAGATCCAATAGCCATCTTTCTCTGCTCTCCTCTGTCCTGACCTCTACAGACTGATTCATCTAGGTCCCTTGCTCTGTCTCTGATTTGGTTCAACCACAGGGAAATGTCAGCAAGATATCAGAGAGTAGGAGGTATTTATGCCCTCACGTCTTCCCTGCCTTGGCTGCAATTCTGGCAAGGACAGCATTTTTTTTTTTTTTTTACAGTTATAGCTTTTATTAGATGGCCCCTCTTTCAGAGTTTCACCACTCACAGGGCTTCAATAATATCTTGCCTCCTCTTGCTCCTTCCAGCCTAGAGGTAGAAGCAGCTTCCATCCCTTGTCAGTTTTTTTTAACCTGGCTCCCAGGTCCATACATAATTCCTTCACTAAATCATCTTCAGTTAAATGCTTTGAGTCATCTGTTTACTACTAAGACCCTGACTGATAAACTTACTGTTAACTTTTGGAGAACAAGTAAGATGTCTTATTATCTTTATACATTCAAAGTCTAGTATCTGGCCTATAATTGGTATTCAACAAATATGTACTGAAGAAGAAATGACTAAACCAATGGTTGGCAAACATTTTTCTGTAAGGGTTTAGACAGTAACTATTTTAGGCTTTGCAAGCCATAAGGTTTCTGTCACAACTATTCAACCCTGCCATTATAGCATGAAAGCATCCAGAAACAATATACAAACAAATGAGTGTAACTGCGTTCTAATAAAACCTTCTTTATAAAAAAACAGGTGTCAGGCCAGATTTGGCCCATAGACTTTAGTTTGCCAACACCTGGAGTAAACAAATGAAATACATTTATAAAAGTGCATTTTTTTCAAACTTAATTTAACATAAAGATACCTAATATATAGGTAAACACAGAGAGAGAATTCTCCAAAACATTCACCTGAAATTCTTAAGCAATTAAATCTAGCAATTAATAATTTTATTTTCATTTATAGTATATACTTATGTATAACATACTTAACCTACTATATTATATCAATTAATAAGCACAGTTATATGTCATGCATTATCAAAGTCTTCTGATATATATACATGTATTTCTAGAAATAGAACCATTATGGTTTATAGGATATAAGAAAAATATGCATTGAGTCATAAGTCAAAAATACTTAAGAATAATTGCCCTTGACTTACAGTATTTGCTTAACATTATTCCTTAGAGCAAACTTAAAACTGTTTTACTTTTACAATAATATCATAATGGTATAAAATATATACCTGATTTGTCTTTAAAATCCATAGAAAAACCTTCAAAGTCTTCCAGATTAAACTCTACTCTGGCACGTGTTGTACCTTTGCTTTTTACTAAAAATGGAATAATCTGGGTAGCGCCAACATAGGTGCCACTGAAGTTAAATACATCCTAAAACATAAAAAAAGAAATCATAATTAGAAGGTAGAGTAACAATTTATGAAAATAATGTAAACGAAAAATTACATTGCAAAACAGTAGATCTTAAAAGTCCTCATTATGAGAAAAAAATTGGTATGTCTGGTGACCAATGATAATTAGACTTACCATGGTGACCATTTCACAATATATACAAATATTGAATCATTATATTGTACACCTGAAACTAACATGTTATATGTCAATTATACCTCAATAAAAAATTATACTCATGTTTATCAAGGACATTATTACAGCAGTATTCTATACAAATTAGTTACATTTTCCTTCTTCCCCCTCCCTCCTACATGTAATCAGTTACCAAATCCCATTAATTCTGACTCCTTCACCTCTTAACTTTATTGTAATTGTATAAAGTTAGTAACTCATCACTTTTTTTTTTTTTTTTTCTGTACGCGGGCCTCTCACTGTTGTGGCCTCTCCCGTTGTGGAGCACAGGCTCCGGAAACGCAGGCTCAGCGGCCATGGCTCACAGGCCCAGCTGCTCTGCAGCATGTGGGATCTTCCTGGACCGGGGCACAAACCGCGTCCCCTGCACCAGCAGGTGGCCTCTCAACCACTGCGCCACCAGGGAAGCCCAGTAACTCATCACTTTTCATTTCATTGCTAGATTTGACTTTCTCCAATTCTCCCCTCCACATCTAAGTCACAATTAAACTAATTAAAAATCTGACCACATCATTTCCTGTCTTAAAATTTGATGATTCTCCTCTACAGGAGATCTACAGGACAATGTCAAGTTTGTTAGCAGGGCTCATAAAGTTCACCATGACCTTCCCCTGCCTCATGTTCCAGCCTTACCTAGCTCCACTCTCACCCCTATGACTTCATATTTCAGCAAGCTGTATGACTTGTCATTTCCAACCAGTACCTGGCACTTCTCCCTTCTGTGTCTTTATCAAGGTGTCTCTTCTGTCAGAAGGCCCTTCTCTAACTTGTAATTGCCTGATAAAATACTATGCATCCTTCAAATACCAGTTGGATAAGCCACAATTAATTACAGTATGATCGGGACTACTTCTGTTCCTTATGTTTATTCACATTATGACATCATAATGTCCGTTTATTTGTCTATTTATGTCTCTTCTAGTGGACCTTAAGTCCCATTCATTTTTACATCTCTAGCACCTATCTGACATCTAGCTTAAATACATAAGGAATGTTTACTGAATGTATCTTAATTTTAGCTTATATGCCAGGCATGTGTACCCCACAAAACTCTGCAGGATTCCTCTTCTGGTAGAGTAACTATATATACTCTACAGTTCCTTAGTAAAAGAATCACATACACCATTAAAAGAGAAAGAGGCAACAGTATCCTAATGCTGAGAAAAACATGGCATTAAGGTCAACTGTCCACTATTTGCTTCACTTAAAATATCAACCCAGTTCTACAGGTGAAATTTGTGAAATCCAAAACAGGTAGTGAAAGTTTGATGCTTCGTATGCAAAAAATCACTCCTCTTATCCCATTTCTGGTCTTTCCCATAGGTTAATTTGGATAAAATTTCCTAATTGTTATTAAGACACACAGTCAATGCCACACAGTTATTAGATATATTGCTAACCATATCTGGTAATACTAGAATATTGTTTTTAAAAGGTAACTGGGCAGCAATGTTTAAAAATTCAACATAATTAAGAAATATTGATAAATATATATTAAAGTCCTATAAATTACTCAGTTATACCATAACATGCAAAGCCTGCCACAAATATCTTAGGACGAGGAAATGCAGTATTTAAAGTCTCTATCTTTGTCTAACATTGTTCAAGGAGGGACACCATATCAACTGAAAAAAAGCACTCTGGATACTACAGGAATCACCACTGTCTTGGACAAGCTAGCTTAGTATCCATCAGTCTATCTGGACTTACCATGCCTTCAACACTGAATAAAAGAAAGGTTAGAAAATTGTAACTTAAAGCCTAGAATTGTGGTGATGCCGTTAAAGTGCAGACTAGTGGTAAGGCCCTACCTGAGGCAACCAGCAGCCTCATCGATTTCTACTCAATTTAGTTCAGCACCAGAATGGTACTAGGTACTGGGGATAGAAAAACAAAAGGGCAGATAACCTGAAAATAATATGACAATTGCTACAATGGAGATGTTCCCAGAGTTTAAGATGTTTGTGACATCTAATAAATGTCACAAGAGAGGGGAATATGGGCTTGCTTTGAAGGATCAGGGAAAGTTTCTTTAGGTAGGTAAGACCAGATCTAACTCTGAAAGCTTGGACAGAAAAAAAAAAAAAAAAAAAAAGCATGTATGTGCACTCTATCAACTGTAGAACAAAATTTCATTTGGGTACAGAACAATAATTCAAAAAATAAATTTGATTATAGTTCAGAAAATGTAAATCAAGACCACAGTGAGGTATTTTACACTCAATAGATTGGCAAACATTGTGTCTTATAATACAACTTATGGAGCAACAGAATGTGGATCAATGGAAACTTGAGAAGAAAATATGGAAATTATCCTGTGAAGTCAAATATGTACATTATCTGCATCTCAGCAACTCCATTCCTAAAGAAGCTATTTCATAAGTACCTTAGAAGATATGTACATGAATGTTCATAGCTATAGTATTTGTAATACCAAAAAAACAGACACTAATTGGATGGACAATGCAATGAGTCTACAAATTACAGTATGTCTACATAATGGACTATTAAGCAGCAGGGAAAATGAATAACATACAGCTACACATAACCTAGATGAAGTTTAAAAACATGATATTCAATTAAAAGTAACCCACCAAAGATAATATATCTTTGTTATAAAGCTCAGAAATGAACAAACTAAATAATGAACCGTAAGGAATTCATACATATGTGGTAACCTAATTAGAAAAAGTAAAGGGAGAACAATGACAAAATTCAGGAAAGTAGTTATCTCTTAAGACGGGTAGGATCATGATGAAGCCTACAGATAATTTAACGGTACTGGTACTGTTCTGCTACTTAAGTTCAGTGGTGAATTCTTAAACTTTCATTAATTGGCTTAATACTCTGCTTCATCACTTATATTTATATTACATATATTAATTTCTATGTGACAAATTACTACATAATAAAAAAATTTTAACCTAAATGGGCTGACTAGGGACACATAAATAAAAATCACCACACTCATAAATTGATTATACAAATAGGTAACATACTCACAGGATTGATTTCAACATCAGCAATCTCAATAGATCCACCAGTCCTAAGGTCTATGTCTTTTGCACGGTGAATAGCAATCTATTTAGGAAAAACATAAAACTCTGTAGAAACCACACTAAAATATACTCATATACTGCTGAAGTATTACCTGGCATTTATATAACATTTTATAATTTAAATAATCATAACTTATTATAAATGTCACAAGACTTATTCTGGCAGTTATCATCCCATTTCTTGTGATGTAGAATTGATATTCCTAAAGGAGTGAATTTTCAACTCTTAAAAACTTCCATCACAAATGGGACCTCATGAATTTGACTGAAGAGTTCTACCCATTTGCCTTGACATTATTGCTTCAAACTCTGTGTGAGCCTTTTGTATTTACCTAATTCCAAAGGAATATTCAAAATTAAAACAAGCAAGAAACTGAGTGCAAACACAGAAAGATACTAATATCCAAAACAACCATAATTCTAATGAGAGCAGCTAAAAATTGCTGAGTATATGGCCCAAGTATACTGCTAAATACATTATCTCCTTTTTAATCTTCAGTATTCTGTTAATACCCTAATTTCCAAGTGAGGAAAACTGGGGCTTAAGGTCACAAAACTTGAAAGCAGCAGTGGCTAAACTTGAACCAAGAACTGCCTGAGCACTCAATTTCTTCCAAGAAATTTAAGACAGTGAAATAAGAATTTAGTCATGTAACTCCTACAAAATAAGAACTATAGATTACATGAACATATAATTGTCTAATCAAAATCTCAGAAGCACAAAAATATCATTCCCTGAAAGCCCTACCTGTACAAGAACAGGTTAGCAGTCAACTTCGAGATTTAAATCTAAATGTATATTAAAAAAAGAGATATGAGTGTATTTCACTCTTTTGATAGAATCAGTGGCATTGTTTATGGGTAAAGAAAACACAAAATACCATTTTTTCAGAATTATTAAGGAAAGTGAGTGCCATCTAGACAATCTTATTAACCGAATTGCTTAATTCATACTACTATATGATTTCTGTATTTTATTTACAGAATATATAGTACCTAAAATACTTGACTAAAATCATAAGAAGCATAACTTAATGCTTCAGAGGTAATTACAAGTCAATATATGCTTCACTGATGAACGCCATATGTAAGTCTCAACACCCCCATGGCTGCCTTTTACTCACTTCTCCTTTCGTGGGTAACTGAAGATTCCAGGCTGCCATAACCCATTTACTACCCTCACCAATTGCTCGCTTGACCTTTTCATCTCCTGAGACTTAATCTGTACCCTGGACAATATCACCCGTCACAAATCCATGGCCTCAGAAACCATACATTCATCCGTCCCTCTCTTTCTCACAACCCTCTCTCATCCCTGCTTTCTCACCCATTTTCAGAGACTAGAGTTCCACGATGTCACATGTGTGATGTTTCCCTGATCAGCCCCAATTAACCTGTCCCCATTTTCTCCGTTATTCAACAAAGTTTATCATTCCAACTTCTCATCAATATATTCGATCCACTTATACTCATCTTGATTTTCACAGGGGTAACAGAAATAACCTCTATCATCTCTAAGATTAATCCTTAGCCTTCAGACCAACATGTATAAGCAATGGCCTCTTTACTAGACACCTCTACATAGGGATGCAAAAGGTGCCTCAAACTCATGATTTCCCTCTAAAATATGCTACTCATCCTCTAATCTTTCTTCGAATGTTGTTACCACCTGTCTCACACTTGACTTACCTGTTTTATTTATATGTGACCCTTTTCAATCATCAAACCCTAAACATTCATCTCCTAAATTTGACTAGAATTTGTCTAGAATCCTACCTCCTGAGAACACGATCTTCTCCTGCCTGGACATCATCAGCGGACTAATAACTCTGCACTGGTCGCAGTTTAACACTGCTCTATAACCAAAGTGATGTCTGAAAAATGCAAATCTGAGTGTGAAACTCTCCGTGCTTAAAAACTCCAAGCTCTTAAGATGAAATTTTGACTTCCTAAGTTGTTGCTAAGGACCTGTATGACTAAAATTTATACAGGCCTCTAAATACATCTTTCCCCACTATCATCCATTCAATCTATAACCAAGTCATGTTAAACTAAGTTTTTCATATCTGCCTTGTAGCTCTCCCTCTCCTCCCATATGCCTGAACACATTCAATTTTGTCTTCCTTGAATACTCTTTCCTCCTCTCCTCCCTCACCCCACTACTACCCCTTTCCTCTGGCTGATTCTTAACTCTGGTGTCTTTCAGATTTATCTTCCCCTAGGAAACTGCCCCTGACCAGTTAAGCATGGGTTGCAAACCTCTCCCGTATATGCCCCCAGCCTACTGTATTTCTCCATCATAGTACTTATTACATTATCTTTTAATTTTGAGTTGTTTGCATCCCCCATCATATTGTACATTCTTAGAGACCAAGGACCCTAGTTACCTTGTTCAATTTTGCATTCCTAGCAACTGCAGCAGAGCCTAACACATAATATATGCCCAGTAAGTACGCATGGAATGGATGAATAAAGGAATCTCATTATAATATACTGTTAAAAAGGTAAGCTTTGTAAAAACAGCATGGTTCTCTAAAATACAGTGGAAACTAATCTCAGTAAAACCTATATTTTAGTGGCTATGTTTTTTATTTTTTCCAAAATAATATACAAAAATTCTGCCCAAATATCAGACCGTATACCACAATATACACTTTATAAACATCTTTCAATCTATACTTTTGTTTTTGTAATTTATTTGTTTTACTTATTTATTTTTGGCCGTGCTGGGTCTTCGTTGCTGCGCATGGGCCTTCTCTAGCTGTGGCGAGCGGGGGCTACTCTTCCTTGTGGTGCACGGGCTTCTCATCGCGGTGGCCTCTCTTGTTGTGGGGCAGGGGCTCTAGGCGCATGGGCTTCAGTAGTTGTGGCGCGTGGGATCTAGAGCCCAGGCTCAGTAGTTGTGGCGCACGGGCTTAGTTGCTCCGTGGCTTGTGGGATCTTCCCAGACCAGGGCTCGAACCCATGTCCCCTGCATTGACAGGCGGATTCGTAACCACTGAACCACCAGGGAAGCCCCCTATACTTCTTTATAAAAGTAAGATATAATTATTAGGTTGTTTATTTGGGGGCCAGGCAAATTGGTGTTTATTATATTAAGCTAAATATTATTTAAGAACTAATGATTATGGGAAATTGAAGGATAAAATGGAGGATATCTCTTAAGCCGTTCATTTTGATCTGATGATAGTGCACATATTACTTTTTTAATGTGAGTAAATGTACACAGTTGATCATCAAATTGAAGATTAAGAGCATTCCGTTCCATGAGTTTATAATAAGTAAAATTTACTACAGACTGGTCTTACATGTTTTATTTATTCTGTTTAATGAACACTTAGAGAAGTCCCTAAAATCAAGGTAATACCTTTTCATTTACATAATTCCCAGAACATAAAATAGTAAAACATTTTATGTGTGCTATAAAATACAGATATTAACGTCATATACAATTTTCCTATAATTCCTATAGTCATTAAAGCTATTTAAAATTAGCATTCCAAAACTGATTATTTTTTCCTTAGGTATCTAATTAACACCATGGAAAAAACAATCCTTTGCTCTGTGACTAGTGAGGGCTTGTCACAAGTTAGAGATGCCAAATATTCCAAGTTCATGTGAAAAATGCCTCATATCAATGAAATGTATCCATTTCAACTTAGTAGAAACTTCCATTAGCAACTTTCATCAAAAATATTTTCTACAAATCCTCTTGCCAAGTTCTGCTAACCATTTTTACAACCGATGTATAAGTAAGGTTGTTTATTTTTTAGATTTCTAAAAACTGCACCTCTTTAGAGCTAACTCAATTAGAAATTTAGAATAGAAAAATAACAGAAATTTTTAAAATTACTCTTTAGTGTCATAATATTAAAACCCATCCCCATTAGAAGAAATCATTAAAATAAGCTTTCTAAGAATAAACATGTATATAACATTTTATAGAATTATACCTACTATTATAAATATCATAACCAAACAAATCCACAGACACATATATAAGGAGAAAACACACATATGCATAAACATACCTTTGCTCCTGTATCAAATTTTCCTGCTACAGTAGGAGTACAGGAGGTATTGAGAACAGTTAGCCCCCCCAATGGAATGATTCCTTGTGATGGAACAACATCAATCACAGACAAAAGACTCTGGTCACAAACCTATAATCAAAAATTTGTAGAAATGTCACTTATCCTTTAAAGTTACTGTTCCAAAGCTTTCATAGGAAAACTTCTAGACCAGTACATAGAGAGAGGACCTACAGGCACACAGCATGAGATGGTTTTGAAATAGATTTTCGAACACCAGACAAACAATTTGAACTTCAACAAGGATTTGCACCCCTAACCCAGCAAACAGAACTTTTAGCAATGGCATCTTCCAATTCAAACAGGACGATGAAGCTTATTATCTGAAGTGTTTTCAAGACTTTGCAAAACTTACAAGGAAAGGATGAGATGTATCTGTTGGAGAGATGCCAAAATTCTAGATACTATTTTGATAGCCTGTCTTTTCCCTGATCCTAAAAAACTGAAAGCAAAGTTAGTGGGGAGGCAAGATGATAAAGTAACCTACTCTTCTTTATTATTTCCTTTATAGCCTAATGTCTAAGATATCATTTTGACCTTCAAAAAAGTAACTTACCAAAAGAGTTAAGGTGTGGTTTGTCAGAGGCCAATTTAGGCTTATCTATCATGCCTTAAGTCAGAATAATTTGAAGGGAAATTGGTTAACATATTTTAGGGGATGAGGGAACAAACAGACTTCAGAACTAATTCTGAAGCAACAGAGTAGAAAAGGGTATCCTCCTTTGCTTGTTTGGGCAGAAGACATGTAAATACAAGCTTGAAAGAAAGATCTCAAATGCTAACCTCTACTGTCACTATTTATTAAGAGATGTTAATGTTTCTCAGTTAAAAAAAAAAAAACCTCTATTACCAATTTAAACACCACCCGCCCCACAATTTAAATCAGGAGTAACAACTATAAATAGAATATCTTTAGAATGGTCTTGATCTAGGTCCCAGTTGCTACCATAACAGTCTTGATGACAGAGTGAAAACGAGGAAAAAAAGGAAAAGCATGTAATTAAATACTGGATGTAACATAAACACTGCATATTTTTTTTAATGTTAGTTTTTTTGAAATCATCTTTTTTTCCCAATAAAACAAAATAACAGAAGGAAAGCAAAAGAGGGGTAAGAGGAGAAGGAAGGGAGAGATTAAGGAAGGAAGGGAGAGATAGAGACAAATTTTATGGGAAACTAAAAGGATAAAGTAGGTGAAATGTATTCAGATAAATCTGATATGAAATACCTAAATATTAGCATTAGTCAATCTATAAAGACTAAAGTATTCATGGCATAGAACTCATGGCAATAAATAGTTCAAATTATAATGTGATCTGATCCAAGTAAGATTTCCAGATTCTACATTACCTTGAAATAAGCATGGGTTGGTCCTACATTGTGAAGAATGGCTTTTCTCCAAGTTCTTAAACCTTGAGGGCTATCACTGAAGAGTATCCTTGGCTCTAAAAGAACGACCTTGGTGTGACCAAGCTAATAAGAGGAAGAAAGGGAACATGAAATTGAAATAACAGTAAACATTTTTTTATCCCCCACCAGATAACTCAAACTTTTTCAGCTTCATAGAAATTTCTAAAATACGAAGCGTTATCAGATTTTATGGTGTGCTTAAGAGAAAGGAAAAGAGTGGAATATTTACAATGTACTCCTAAACTGAGGAAGGCAGAGAGAGTAAGATAACTCTAAGGACGAAGTAAATCCATGACTGAGAATGATGTAGATTAGTCACTGAAGGGGATATTAGAGACCATCTGCCCCACTACATACAAGGTGTTACCATGTGCTACACAAAAGGAAAAAGTTCAAGGGTCATGTAAGTATGGGAAATAACATGCCAAGAGAGATTATCCAGGCATGTTTCTACTAGAAGTCTTCTCAAAGGGCTTAATATGCTGATAATGTACACTTTGCTTATCTGAGAATGGGGAGGTAGTACACTGTGATTCACAGAATTACTTAGGCACAGGACTCCCTCGCCCTGTCCTACACAAACCACTTCACAGAACTACAGCAACATAAAACACTTTTTGGAAACGTTGATATTATCCACCTCTCCCATTTTACAGGAAAGCAAACAGTAACCAAGGTGAACTAGAACCCAAGATTTCTAATTCCTCATTCAGTGCTCTTTACAATAGACCCTACTATAAATAATACATATTATTTCTTATTGTCTTAGGAGATTTTAATACATTCGTATAATTAGTTGAAGAACATGATTCGGATAACTGGAAAAATAAACTTTCAAACAAAGCTAACAAAAGATGAAATGGTCAAGTAAGTCCTTCATAATTAATGAAAAAACTTAAATGAACATTTTATTTAATTGTTTCACATTCCTCCTTCTTTACTTTCTTAAGAGTAACACTTCACTTACTCTTAGGTAAGTTCACTTAAACTCAAGGGCTTGAAAAATTGGCCAAAAATAATCTAGTTCAGTACACTGACATCTCAGAGTTTAATTCTTAACCAATCCTAGTGTAGGGAAAGTGGAAATCAAATTTTATGAGAGGGTAATGGCAAAGGCTGTGGAGGCAGATCACTTTGGATATAAATTCCAATAGGGCATTTACTGCACGTGTGAACTTGTACTAGATAATTAACCATTCTAATGCTCCATTTCCTCACCCATCAATTGAGTTATTAATACATTCCTTAAAGAGTTGCTGTAAGGATTAAATGAGATAATACAAGAACGTCATTTTGCATCGTACCTGAGACACAATAATTAATAAATGATACCTTATGGTTATCAGGGGATAAGCGGGGGAGGGATAAATTGGGAGACTGGGACTGACATATACACACTACTATATATAAAACAGATAACTAATAAGAACCTGCTGCATAGCGCAGGGAACTCTACTCAATACTCTGTAATGGCCTATATGGAAAAAGAATCTTAAAAAAAAAAAGACTGGATACATGTATACATATAACTGATTCACTTTGCTGTACACCTGAAACTAATACAACATTGTAAATCAACTATACTCCAATAATATTTTTTAAAAAAATGATACTTATTATTAAAGCTAAGTCTACATTACTAAATTGCTCATCTTTTATTTGTTAGAAAAAATACACATGGGGTGAGTATATGAGCAAATTTATATTAGTAAACTTGTCAAACACAGTTATGTAAATAACAGTTAAAGAACTGTATACATATGTTCACCAAAAGACAGAGAATGTTAACAGAAGCACTATTACATTAGCCAAAAATCTGAAACAATCCAAACCCTCATCAGCTGTGTGATGGAAAACTGATTGTATAGTCTAACCAAATGGAATGCTATTCAGGAGTGAGAATGAATAATCTGTCACCACATGTATCAGCATAGATGCATCCCACAAACCTAATTATGAAAAAAAGAAGACAGGCATAGAAGAGAACATATGGTGTGATGACATTTATATAACGTTTAAAACCAAAATTAATCTATGCTCTTAGAAGTAACGATTGTGATGATCCTGGGAGGGACACAGAGTGACTGGAAGTGTGGACTAGAGGGGTTCTTTTGTGATGCTAGTCATGTTCTGTTTCTTGATCAGGTTGATCTGGGTGTGAGTTACAAGGGTGTTACTAGTTTATAAAAAATAATTGAGTGATACATACTTTATAATATGTGCACCTTTCTGTAGTATACTATACTTCAATACAAAGTTGTAAAAAGAATTAATAAGTGATTTAAACATAGTGAAAGCAGCAGCTTATTTCAAGCCTGGGGCAAAGGAAAGACCCTATTGATTTCTGACTGCCACTTGCCATCATAAAAGTGGATGGATCTCTTATATCTTAAGGCTATAAGCTTCTTCATAGCTAAAATATGTAAGAACATGATCATGGCCTGAAGACAGAGATGGGATTTAGTAAAACAGCACTGGGTTGTGTTAAATTACTAAGAACGTTGGGAAGGGAATTTGGTACACATGTAAAGCATATCCTTGGTAATTAAGAGCCATGAAGTTAAGGTCTTCTGGGTTCTACCACAGAAAGAAAGTTAAAATTACATATTGCAGCCTTCACTTTACTTACATTTTTATTATAAGTATATTCCATATGGAATATGGAAAAATTTTCTATATTTCCTTGCTATATAAATCACATGATCCATTTCATACTGAATTATTAATTACAACTAAATACGAAAAATGCAATAATATAATTTTCTTCAGTTTTCTTTGGCACTTATTAAAGAAATAATTTAATTTCAAGTGGCTCCCATGGTATTATAGTCTCTAATAACAATCTAGTATTGTTGGCACAAAAGTCTTGGATTTCTGAGTGAATTCTAGATAATACAACACATTTTTTAGCAAAGTCTTCATTTATGGTAGAGAAGTGGCTCCAAGAAGATGCTAAGACACTTTAGTTAACTAAGTATTACATGTAAAATCAGTTTTTACTAACATAGTATATATACGCAACTATATACGTATATGCATACTCAACCAATTTATAGCCCTCAAAATAAAAATAATATTCAAGGGAAATCATTACACGTGCAAGACATTTCAGTGTCAGCATGTTTCCTTCATTGATGTGAAGAATAAATTCTCCCCTTTCCGGAGAATCAAATCCCAGCTGCCATGTCACTTCACATTCCAATAGGGAGTATGGCTCAACAGTGCCTACAGAGAATTTAGAGAGAACAAGAAATTTACCACATTTTAACTATATTTATTTTTTAATATCCAAAATAAGAGATGGCATAAACATGTAATGACATTTTATAACAAATTATTTAAATTAAACAAAATACAGGGAATACCTTATGCTCCAACTTTAATAGGCAGATCAAAATATCTGACAAAAAGTATGCCAATATATAGCAAAAAATTTTAAATTTATCAATGAAGCAACACTCTAGGACTAGAGATAACTTTACATCTAGACAGTAGAAAACCATCTGCGATCCCTGATCAAATGTCCCCTCCACATTTCTCAACACTCTGAAACACACCGGACACTCATTCAGTTTCTGGAGGAAGGAATTATCATTACCAGAGGCTTTTTTTTGTTTGTTTTAATGTTCAACTCCCTAGAGATATAACTTCTGATGTAGCTATTAGCAATTAGCACATTTCTATAATTCAAATGTATTTAGAACCCAGGAGGGTATAAGGCACATTTACTGTGAGGTGCTTTACCTGTTTAAATTCATCATCTCCTTTGGTCTAAGAAAATAATACTTGATGGAAAGAATGACTTAGAAGCTCTTCCCTCAGGAAGAGGGGATCATCTGAGATTCAAAGGCACAGGATACTGAACAGAGAGATGCGTGACCATCACAACAAACTTTGCCTTGAGTCAGGCTGACTCACATGCAACAGTAGTTTTCTCAACCTTGAAAAAGGTATAGTGCCTACCTCCTAGTTTTTCAGTGGCCATGTAGGGAGATAACAACACACATAAAGGGATTAACATAGTGTGTAATTCCCAGAAAGCACCCAGTGTCAGATATTATTATTAATACTCTTGAATGCCAATACTATAGTTGGCACAATAATTTATAAAAAGAAGAGAAACTACTCGTGGAAGAGCTAACAGTCTAGTTGGGATCCATCAGAATTATATTTGTCTATAAGTAACAATAAGTCCTGTTACAGTGGGTTAGGTAGATAAGAGTTTATTTATCTTATGCAATCAGAAGTCCATGGGCAGGTATTCCAGGGCTCCCTTAACAGGTTGACAATGCCTTGAAGGAGCAATGCTCCTAGCTTCCCACACTGCCATTCCTTATCACGTGGCCTTCCTCAGTGTGGAAAGGTATCAAAGCACAGTCGTTAAAAAGAGCACAAATTCAACGGTCAGACTCCCTGGTTCAAATTTCAGCTCTGACACTTACTAGCTGAGACTTTGGACGATTTACTAAACCTATGTAACACAGATTCCTCATACATAAAGTGGGGATAACAACTGTTTCTTAGAGAATTGATAAAGGGAATAAATAAGCTAATATAAGCAGAAGTACTTCAAACAGTACCTGGCATATAGAAGGAGGATGAAGCTAAAAGAAATTTCTGTCCATATCTCATTGGCAAGGAAGGCTGGGGAAAAGAGATACGTAAATAAGAACATTGCTTCCCCAAACAAAATGAGGGTCCCATAAGGAAGGGGAATGGATATCAGATATGGGCTTAGTAACATCTACCACAACAGGAGATGGACATAAACAAATAACTGTAGGTGATGTAACAAATACACAATGGGAGTGGAAAAGAGGTTGGGTGGGGAGTTCTAAATTAGCCCAAGAAAGTGGAGGAAACTTCATCATAAGGAGATGGCATTTGAGTTGTGACTGAAGAATGAGCAGGAACTCTGCAGGAGGACAAAGTCTGCGGGAAATGTAGAAGTCAAGTGATGGTACTAGAAGTGAGTGATGTGTAGAGAAGACTGTGATGGGAAGTAACTCTGACAAAGAAGAGTCAATGCTATTTATAAAGACACATAAGCTTTCAGAGAAGAGTTGAGAGCAGCAAAAGGATTACAGATCCATGTTGAGAGGGTTAGCTCGAGGTCAATACTTTCCCTTCAACCAGCATGGCTATATATTTTTCTCCAGGAATATTATGTATATCGTGGGACAGGAGAAATAAGTTGGATGGCTGAATTGAGCATGGCTGGGATTGGCAGGGAAGGTACTACAAACGGCCAAGGAGTGACAGAATTGAGAAAGACAATGAGAGTGAACTGACTGAAGACAAGGCTGAGGACTGAGTGGACTCAAGAGTTCCGTATGGTTAAAGACAACAAGGATGAACACATAAGAAAACAAGCAGAAACATAAACAATATCTAATGAAAAAGTCATATGAGAAACCAATTCTATCTTAGAAAAATCAATCCACTCTTCCATTCTCCCCTTATAATATCCACTATCCAAATACAAATCCAAAATGTATCATGCCTCAGGAAAAAAGGACAATCACAACATAAAATTTAAATTATAACTCTTCACTTTAGTTTACAAAAAAATAGAGAGGGATATGATTAAATGCATTATGTAGGATGTAAAACCAATTCTAGGGGCACAAAAATTTGCTACCCCAAAATGTGTCTCTTTGGCATGAGGATTAATTTAAGCTGATTATTATTATTATTTTTTTTATTGCAGTACGCAGGCCTCTCACTGTTGTAGCCTCTCCCGCTGCGGAGCAACAGGCTCCAGACGTGCAGGCTCAACGGCCATGGCTCACGGGCCCAGCCGCTCCATGGCATATGGGATCTTCCCAGACCGGGGCACGAACCCATGTCCCCTGCATCGGCAGGCGGACTCTCAACAACTGCGCCACCGAGGAAGCCCTAAGCTGATTATTTTTAAGAAACAGAAGAAGACTCAGGAAGTTTTTTCTTGTTACCTCTTCCTTAACTGCCTAAAAGAATTTAGATAAAGGGCTAGTTCCCAGAATAGAGCTATCACCAGAGATACATGCAAAGAATATGGGCTGGCTATCATAGGGGAGACTCAGCTGGGCCTAGAGACCAAGTCTACTCTGTGTACCACGACCCAGGAAACATCTGTTTACCAAACATTTGCTTTTCCATCTGCATGTGAATTCCCTTTCTCACCTTTGCAGCCCCAATCCACTACCCCCAACATCCTCTTTTGTCTTTAGCTGAAGATGACATTTAAGGTGAGGATTTGGCCACTCTGGCAAGTTATGGGGTTTTCCTGGGTCTGTCTCACGGATACATGTTATTAAACTTTTGTGTGATTTTCTCCTGTTAATCTGTCCCATGTCAGTTTAATTCTTATACCAACTAGAAGAACCTAAGGGTAGAAGAAAACTTCTTCTTTTCCAACACGATATAACAAAAGGGATGTAAGAAAAATAACTCAATAAAAAGATTTACACAGGAGACCTTCAAGATGGTGGAGGAGTAAGACATGGAGATCACCTTCCTCCCCACAAATACATCAGAAATACATCTACATGTGGAACAACTCCTACAGAACACCTACTGAATGCTGGAAAAAGACCTCAGACCTCCCGAAAGTTATATATATATTTTTCCGTTTTCTCTTTTTGGGAGTATGTATACGTATGCTTAGTTGTGCAATTTTGTCTGTATAGCTTTGCTTTCACCATTTGTCCTAGGGTGCTGTCTGTCTTTGTTTTGTTGTTTTTTTCCTTACTATAGTTTTTAGAGCTTGTTACCATTGGTGGATTTTTTTATTGGTTTGGTTGCTCTCCTCTTTCTTCTTCCTTTAATGACTTTTTAATTTTTTTTCTTTTTTTTTTTTGCGGTACGCGGGCCTCTCACTGCTGTGGCCTCTCCTGTTGCAGAGCACGCAGGCTCAGCGTCCATGGCTCGTGGGCCTAGCCACTCCGCGGCATGTGGGATCTTCCTGGACCGTGACACGAACCCGTATCCCCTGCATTGGCAGGCGGACTCTCAACCACTGCGCCACCAGGGAAGCCCTGACTTTTTAATTTTTTAAAATATTTTCTTTTATTTTAATAACTTTATTTTATTTTATTCCTTCTTTCTTTCTTTCTTTTTTTCTCCTCCCTTTTCTTCTGAGCTGTGTGGCTGACAGGGTCTTGGTGTTCCGGCCAGGTGTCAGGCCTGTGCCTCTGAGGAGGGAGAGCCAAGTTCAGGACACTGGTTCACCAAAGACCTCCCAGCTCCACAAAATATCAAATGGCTAAAGCTCTCCCAGAGATCTCCATCTCAAAGCTAAGACCCAGCTCCACTCAAACAGCAAGCTACAGTGCTGGACACCCTATGCCAAACAACTAGCAAGACAGGAACAAAACCACACCCCATACCAGAGAAGCTGCTTAAAATCATACTAAGGTCAGAGATACCCCAAAACACACCACCAGATGTGGTCCTGCTCACCACAAAGGCAAGATCCAGCCTCATCCACCAGAACGTAGGCATCAGTCCCCTCCAGCAGTAAGCCTACACAACCTAGTGACCCAACCTTAGCCACTGGGGGCAAACACCAAAAACAATGGGAACGAGAACCTGCAGCCCGTGAAAAGGAGACCCCAAACACAGTAAGTTAAGCAAAATGAGGAGACAGAGAAACACACAGCAGATGAAGGAGCAAGGTAAAAACTCAACAGACTAAACAAATGAAGAAAAAATAGGCAGTCTACCTGAAAAAGAATTTACAGTAATGATAGTAAAGATGATCCACAATCTTGGAAATAGAATGGAGAAAATACAAGAAACGTTTAACAAGGACCTAGAAGAACTAAAGAGCAAATAACAATGATGAACAACATAATAAACAAAATTTAAAATTCTCTAGAAGGAATCAATAGCAGAATAACTGAGACAGAACAGATAAGTGACCTGGAAGATAAAATAGTGGAAATAACTACTGCAGAGCAGAATAAAGAAAAAAGAATGAAAAGAACTGAGGACAGTCTCAGAGACCTCTCAGACAACATTAAACGCACCAACATTCGAATTATAGGGGTTCCCAAAAAAGAAGAGAAAAAGAAAGGGACTGAGAAAATATTTGAAGAGATTATAGTTGAAAACTTCCCTAATATGGAAAAAGAAATAGTTAATCAAGTCCAGGAAGCACAGAGAGTCCCATACAGGGTAAATCCAAGGAGAAATACACCAAGACATATATTAATCAAACTGTCAAAAATTAAATACAAAGA